GACTGCACGATAACCGTAGGGCGTGCACTCATCAAAATTACATGCCAGAGTGCCGCCCAATCGGTATAAGTGGCTAGTGTCGCTGACTGCCGTGCCAAAGGGTCCGGGTTCGAATCCCGGAAAAGGCATAGATGTTTGTAAATGTATAGTGTCCGTGCGCCATGGGGCACTTTAAATATACAGCAAAACAAAAATTCTCTCGAGAAGTTGTGATAGTGTAAGAGAGGTGGGAGACCCTTTAACTCGTCCCCCCCCAGGGTGCTCTTCATCAAAATTGGGGGAGGAACTGAGCTAAATCGCACTGTCAAATGCAAGGTGCTCAAGGCTGTTGCCAAAGACAGGTGTAAACTTGCGCTCCTTGCCACGAGGAATTTCGTGGGTTTGGGCTGACCTATAGGTCAGACAAATGAGCATTAGTAACAGTAACATATGACAGCTGCACGGTATCCTGCAAACGTGCATCTTTGTCATTTACGAGAGGAATTTTAAGTTTTGTTATGTATTAGGGTGTCCAAAATTAAACTTGAACTTTGCGAGCAGTCTGTAGCAAAAACTATGCAGCAGAATCGCATGAAAATTTTGCCTAGGCAGGATGATATGATGGGAATTTTAAAGAGAAAAAAAAAAAAAAAAAGAGTTTTAAAAACCATCACAAGATGGTGTTGCGGGATGTAAACTATTGACATATGCAAATGCAACCATAGTAATCCTGTGCACGCACAGCAAACTTATAAAGATGTGAGAGGCAAACCGCAGAACTGGTAACGTCTTAAACTTTCTAATTTACTTGCAGTCATACTCGTTTCCAAGTCAAGGAAGATAACGTTGACTCTCCAGGAACCTGATTTACTGATGAAATTGTTTTACCAAAATGAAGACTTTGCTACTAAAGCTTTGCGGAAAATTCGGTCTTTGAAGCGGTTAAGAAGCAATCCACTCACTAGTCAAGGACTAAATAACATGATCGGAAATTTGAAGCAAATGGAACATTGGGAATTCAGCCAGGAAGGGGACGAAAGTGTGTTGCAGCACAGGTAGTGGATGATGTAGCAACAAGGAAGACAGATTGCAAACTATGGCAGCACTAGTTTTCGGCATATTGCAGCATCTGTTGACCAACGTCATTCCACGGTTCATAAGATTCTTCAAAAGGTCTTAGTCTACTAGCCTTATAAACTGTCGCTAGTGCAGCAGCTCTAACAAACTGATCTGGATAGTCAACAAACTTTTACGTTGTGGTTTCTAGCGTTGAGTTGAGCTCCAGGATGAATGACCATGGAACATATTGTGGACCAACGAGGCCCACTTTCATATGGAAGGTGCTGTTAACACGCACAACTGCCATATTTGGGCTGCTACAAACCCACATCAATTTCTAGAAATTCCATCACACTCTTTGCATGTAACGGTTTGGTGCGGCTTTACTGCAATTTTCATTGTGGGTCTGTTTTTTTTTTTTTTTTTAAGAGTAGAGCACCGCAAGCCCTGCGACATGCACCGTCACCGGTCAATGACACACTTCATTATTAGAGCAATCTGTTATTCTGGCTCAAGCAAGGCAATGTGATACAACCACAGTGTTTATGCAGGATGGCGCTCCTCCATGGATCGCCCGTTGTGTGAAACAAATGCTCCGCTGCCATTTCGGTGAAGACAGAATCAACAGCCAGGAATTTCCTACAACTTGGCCTCCTAGATTTCCCTGCTTTGGCTGTGGAGATACCTCAAAGCTATGGTCTACCATGATCCCATCACATCTGTATCTGATCTTAAAGAAAGCTTCGAATGCGATGTGCGTAACATTCCGCAGTTCATGCTGCTTTCAACAGTAAAACATGCGATTTTACGCTTCCAGATAGTATCAGACAATGGTGGACATCATATCAAGAATGTTTTGTAAACTTTTGAAGATTATTTATATGTTCTCAAAAAAGCTATGATACACCACCTAGGGGTGGTTTTTGAAACAAATTGTTTTTTCTCTCCTCAATAAAATTTTCATCATTTCATTCTGCCATTACCCAATTTTCATGCAATTCCGCTGTATAGTTTCTTCTACAGACTTCTCGCAAATTTCAAATTTAATTATGGACACCCTGTGTGTGTGTATATATATATATATATATATATATATATATATACATATATATATATATATATATATGATTGAATTCCTCTTCTGTTTTGTTAATTTTTCTTTAAATTTTAATTGGGCTATTGCTCATTTGAAAAGTTTTGGTTTTAACATTTTTTTAATTCTTTGTAGCATTTATAGGATTATTTGAAATTTATTAATTATGAATTTCACTTTTTGGTCTTTGTGAAAAATTAGTTCTAAATTTCTTATTTTATGTCTTTACCGATAATTTTTCAGCAGCTTACTGCACAAAAATACTAGGCATGTTTATATTTTGTTTTGAAAAAATAATTTTGTAATTATATATATATACCTCCTACCCATCCCCCCGGGTGCTCTCCTTCAAAATTGGAGGGGGGGCTGAGCTAATTGCTCTGTGAAATATAAGGTGTTCATGGCTGTTGTCAACAGTAAGCGTAAACTTGCGCTCCTTGCCATGAGGTCATGGCAAGGACCTTGTCATGTGTTTGTGCTGACTATAGGTCAGACAAGTGAACATTAGCAACAACATATGCCACAGCTGTACGGTATCCTGCAAACGTACACCTTTGTCATTTATGACAGGCGTTTTAAGTTTCATTATGTAAGAAAAATGAACATGTAAAAGATTAAATATCTTCATAAATGAATTTTCCTTCGCTATTCTAAAAATTGTAACCTCTCGCTGCACTGAGTCATGAATTAATTGTGGCAGACAAATTAATAGTAACACTAGCTAAGGAGATATCAGCCCGTATAAAAATATGTCAAGGAAATAACTGGTTCACCTCAATCGATTTAACGAAAGAAAGCGATCTGTATCTTACTTCTAAAGGAAAAATGATTTTGCATGAAGAGAACGGTCAGCTGAGCATCCTGGTCCAGAGTTTCGAATTACCAGAGCACAGAGGCGAACGACAACAAACCCAGAAGGGAAATGCCAGAACAGCCACAACCAAAATAGCAGGGGAAAACTTTTGCCGAAGAAACGGAGAACTCTTGCACAAAGGTATGTTATATCTGCAGTAATGCAACTCATTTAGCGTGAAACTGCATTGAGAGGATAAACTACGCAAGATGATCAAGTTGAAGAATTATTATGGTTATGATTATTTAAAGAAAGCGAAGCTGAGATTGCACATCCAGTCATATGTGTGTATAAGAAAGACAGAAGTATTAAACTCTGTGTTCCTTATAAGCCATTAAACGTTGTTATGAGGACAGAAGATTTCCTGATGCAAAATGTAAACGATTTGATGTATTCCATTAGAAGAGCAAAGCTTAATAATGTTGACACTATCTCTTATTACCTGTACACGACTGATGTACTATAGTCTTACTGATTATATGTCCCATCATGTTGTGACTGTGATTCTAGGCACCTTCAATTTTTAACTAATTCTTTTCATATTGGACTAAGTGGACATTTGGCATTCTGCGACTCTATGTGACTTGAATTAAGTGAACTATATTGAAATAAGTAACATTATATTTGACTAAAAACACCAAGTGGAGACTTAACACCATAATTTAACCACATAGCTTTAAATATATTATATTTAATATATTATTTTTATATATTGAATAAAAATACTTATCTTTTATATTTTACAGGTCCATTGTTTTCTTATCGAATATACTTATTTTGCTAAGTATATTTTAATTGAATTTTAATATGTTATACTTTGAATGGTTAGTGTTGGTCCAAAAGGAACAAAAGTGAGACAGTTTTAAATTGAAGCAATGTGAATTAATCTGTATTCATACACATAAACCCAATATCAGAATCATTTTGCCCAATACCAGGAACTGTTTCTCTTGTTTATAGTATTACAAAGCAAATTATTCAGAACACATAAATCACTGCATTTTTATCCTTTTATGATTTGCTTAATATTCAAGATAAAATAAGAAAAAATAATTTTTGTATTTATTAATATTATATTTTAACACAATGAGTAAACTTGTTACCCATTCTTTGATGTTCGTCCTCTTCCCTTTTACAAACATAGAAACAATTTTGAAACAATTCAAAACAATAACATCTACAAAAATATTCATTTTGCTGTTATTAAAGGTCTTGATCTTAATTATAAAATTGTTAGCTGATCCAATAATTAGCAAAATATCGACTACTGAATTTTTAAGGTAACTGAGCAAATTAAATACCTTTAGAACGTTTTTGTTTTTGGGAAGTACATAAAAATGAACATGTATAAACATTCAGAACTCACTTTTGTATACGTGTGTAAAAATGACCAATTAAAGTGCAAATATAGTTGTTAATTCTATGCATCTATTAAGAGTACTATTAAATCATTAGCAAATATCTACTTAAACCCTAGAACTTGAGAATTTTAATTAATAATTAATAAAAATTGTACTGTATTGAAAGTATTAATAAAAATGTTAGATTTTATATTTCTAAAAGAATCAATTAAAGGATATTATAGTTCAAAATTTAATTTTAAAGCAGTAACATTCAAACAAGTTTTGCAGAAATGACATGTATACTCAAATGATTTCATATATGTTATATCCCAAGAAGAATTAAGTACATTTATTGAAAAATGAAATTTTATTTTGATCTCCAAAATATAACCAACAAAACAAATTTTTGAATTAGTTACAAGCTAGATTTCAAAAACAATTTATTACCATACCCCTGGAAAAAAAATGCAAGATTTGAAAAATTTTCCCACTTACAGATTTACCCTTACAAGGAAAGATTTTAAGATAGCTCAAAATACCAATGCTACCCTTAAAAATAAGACAAAATAGAAATAATAATGAAAACGACTAGTAGGAATCTTTGTTCATTGAACATATCTGTTAGTTTTCTCCTTTTTTCAAGTTTTCTAGGTAACTCTTTAATCACAAGTACTTTTTTGATTGAAATTCAAAAAAACAATTCTGAAGTTTTATTAAGTCCTTTAAAAGCATCGGCTGAATCTGTACAATTAAAATAAGGTATATTCTTTGAGGTTAAACATAATTCAGTATTTGAGAACCTGATGACAGTATTATGGCAGCATTATGAGAAATGTATTAATGAAGAACTTTATACAAGATGTAGCATAGTCTAATTTGAAACAACCTAGTTTTATTTCATAATTCTGTTTTCTCTCTGGTGGTTTCATCTTCTGGAAGATCAACATCACTAAGATCAATATCCTCTTCAACTGGCAACTAAAAGAAAAAATACAATAAAAATAAGAATAAAGATTCTTTATAAATGATAAATTAGCAAATGCAAAGTTCAACATATAATGCAGAAGAAAGTAGTTTAAAATAAAAGACTATTAATATGATTTATTGATACATTGAATAAAATGGCGAAAATAGGAAAAAGTAGTACACAATCAGAAATAATTTCCCTGACATTTAATATTAATATAAATGATGTTGTAAAGTTGGATTAAAGCATTAGTGAAAAAATATTTACCTGCCAATAAAGAATGCTTCAAAGTAAATTCATATTTACAAAGCTTATAGGTTACTCTTGACTAGACTACCATTTTGCATCAAGTTTTAAATCACAAGTCCATTATCTTTTACTAATAATAAGGAACCTGCATGTTTATTTTCCACATAGTACAGTAGTACTTACAGTCACAAAATTTGGAACAAATATAATCCTTCAATCAAACATGCACATCAAAGCCTAAATTTTGAATTTTAGTTATTTTATATTTTGCACAAAGGTTAATGAAATTTTGAATAACAATGTCAGTGATTTTAAAAACAATGTGATGCCACTTGGCATAACATAAGGTATTTCAAACTGAATTATAATTACTGATTTAAAAGAAATGTACTAACTCTCAGCAAAGCTTAAGAAATTTATCTCTGAAGCTTAATGTGCTACCACAGGCCAAAATAAAATATTTTAATCTTCCATGTGCCACTATGTTGCTATTCAACAAAGTGCAAAAAATTTAGTTTTTATTTCCAATTTAATCTGCCTATTATTAAAAAACTATTCAGCAATTCTTCATCTCTATTATTAATTACTTACTGGACCCATGAAATTACACTAGCTGGATGCATTTCATATTATATACACATACACAAATATATACATGTAAGAAAAATAAAAAATATGTAAAAGATTAGATTAGCAGCATAAAATTAATTTTCGTTCTCTATTCTAAAAATAGTAACCTCTATTTGGACTGTGTCATTTACAGATGAATTCATGTCACATGACTTACATAATTCTGGTGCTGTAAATGGAACTAAAATTCAAGCAGCCAATAGTAATTTTATAGCAATATTAACTATCCTATCAAAATGCACTGAAAACTGAAACTAACTCAGTCTGAATTAAGATTTTACTCTGAATGTAACACGCTGTAACACACTAGCTGAACTATGGTTTGTCTGCTTCTTCCTTTTTTTTTTTTTTTAAACATCCAATTTATCTAAAATGTAAGCATTTTCGAATAGACACAAGTAATGCACCAACTTGATTGTGGCCGCAACATGTTTGCTGAAATAATATTTAATCTGCCTTCACCTCCAATGTTTATTTTGGTCTACATTTATATGTACATGCAATGTAATTACAACTATTATTATACAAGGTGTCTCAAAAGGTCATTGCCAATTCATGCTGGTCTATCATACCAAGACAAACAAGATTTTACATAGTGCCAAAAATGCAAACGACGACCGATAGAAGGCAATGTCGAAAGAGGTTAATATGACATAAATAAAAGAACAATGTTAAATCACAGAAGATGTTCAAAATTCCTTCCATTTGCCAAATTGCATACTTCACAACGGCAACACATGGATTCATGGACACGTGCCACCGCTTCTACGATTCTGGCAATGGGATTCATGTCCGATATTATGATCATCTCACATCATGGACTTCATGTATCACCACAGGCATAAATCGAGGAGTCAGGTTGGGGACACGCATTGCAGTGGCCATGCAACTGGTTCACCTTTACCAATCCAGTGATCAAGATATGTCCTGCTGAGGTATTCTCACAGAGTGCTGCTAAAATGTGCAGCTGCTCCATCATGCTGAAACCAAATGTTTCGGCATATAGTTGCTGGAATGTCAACCATCAGATCCGTCAAAACTCTTTCCACAAATTGTCCCTAAAGAACTGAGTTAGTAAACCAATTCATCCTTTTCCTACAATGTCCTCATCTGAAATGATCACACTTCTCACTCTCCGATAACCTGCGAACACTGCTTTCTAGTGGTTGCCGTTCACATGACACAAGTTCCTACATAAATCCTGTTTGTCACAGTATGATAGACGAGCATGTTAAGTTTGGCAATGACCTTTTGACACACCCTGTATAACAGTTTAAACTATATAATTATATTTCTTTTGTTTGAATTCCTTCATAACTTATGCATATAACTGATTCTTCTCTAGTTTCTACCTGCAGTTTTTTAAATGCATTTTGTTAGTCAGTCCCTTTGATCGTAGCAGGAAATTTACTTTCTGTATTTGAAAACTAATTTAGAACATGTTTAAAAATTATAAATTTTTTTTGCAAGCTTAAAGGATTCATTCAGATATGGGAAAAGGATGAAATAAAACTGGATCAAATTATTGCATATTTTTTATAGGAGAAAGTTAATTCGCCTTGTGAAGTCAACTTTCTTCAAAGAAATCGACGACAATTTATTTTAATTTCCTTGAGATTTTTATTATTTTAATTTTTATTTATTTTTGTATTTTGAGTTTTAAGACTTTAGACTTCTAGGTCTATTATATGTTTAATAGCTTTAGATAAATCTTTTTAAATATTAATTTTAAATAGGTTCAATTACAATAGTTCTATTTCCTAGAAGAAATCATAAATGAGAAATTATTCATTGAATTTAACTACATATATTTCTTTTTCTTTTAAAATTTTTTATAATAACCATTTTAAGTGACTGGCCACAAAAACAGATAGTATAATAACCAATTAAAAAAGTAAAAGCCAAGTTAGTGCTGCTAAATATTGCTTTTGGACAAATTAGAACAGCACTAAACAGATTAGAAATGTTACACAGATAGTAAAGCACAAAGTATTGCAGGTAAGTATTGTTGTAAATACTTTAATTCATTTTTATTGTATTTTTGATTTTTTGTATTGTTGCAATATTTTGTATTGTTTTATTTATTTTATGGGTTATTTTGTGTTTAATCCAATTTGTGGCTACATGTCTTGTGTTTAAGTACTTATTTGTTGCATAGAATAGCAGATTTTTTAATGAGTGCAATGGCTTTGGAATAGTAAAATTAGCTCAATTAGAACATGAAATATAGGCAATTCATTCCTGTGGGGCCTTGGTCAAATTTAGCAATTCAATGTCAACTTAGTGGCTTTCTTGAAGATTTGTGAAAACACATTTTCAAAGTCTTATGATTGATTCCTTCAGAAGTTTCCAGAGCACATGCTGCAGGGTATAAACAGGGGCCAGACAGCTACGGAGTTCAACTGCGAATTCGTTGCATATCAGCTACAAGATTTAGCCATTAGCTGAACAATGAGTTAGGAGAAAGATACAAGGAACTTTACGATTTATTTTGTGTGCTAAGGAGGAATTGCCGAATATCTGCATTCTGAGTTATTTCCAGCTGTTTTTATGTTGTATGTGCTATTTATTTTGTTAACTTTACCAATTATTCCTTTCTTTCTGCTTATCTGGACTCATAATTTAAAGAAACGTCAATGATCCCATAGCTTGCAATAATATACAGAGTACACAGAATTAAATGTTGTTCCTTTGCATTGAATTCATAATAATTACTGCTGAAATAGCATGGGTGTAATAAAGAAAAATTCATGGAAATAAAATCACCTTTCAGTTATAAAAAGATACTGCTTGCCAAGAAGCATAAATTTTATATGCATATTCACATAATTGATTTGAAAAGTATTTATTCTTTAAACCTAAGATGTGACAATTCTAGCCAATCAATGCATGATTATTACAAAGCAACATATTTTCAATGAGTCAGGCAAATCTACTGTTTATGAGATGGCTGCATTAATTTTTAAATTACAAATCAACCTTAAAAATTTTCAACTAGAAATATGAAATTAGAAATTTTAGCATCTATATGAATGAGAAATAGCATCTGACAATAATAATTTTAATCTTTCTAATACGAAAAGGAATACAAAAATTTACATTTTTACAAGAAGAAAAGAAAAACTACAGAGGAAAAAAGAGGAGAAAGATTACATCTCTAGTATATAAGCTGTGCAACCAAGAAGCAACAGCAAAGAAAAATTAAGCTTCAAATCCCATTTTATAATAAAAATGGTCTAAAATTTCAAAGAAAACATTCAGCACATTTTAAACATTGTCATGCGCACAATTTCAATACCTAAAATTATGCACGATATTCCAACATAACGTAAATGGTTTAAAAAATGTCCAAATTACCAATTAAATTCATTTTTATGATATAAATGAAGTAAAACATCAAAAATACCAAAATTAATTTATAAACCATAATAACAAGATAAGGGTACAAATAATTCCTTTATGCCATCAATGAAACTTTAAATTCAGTTCTGTTCTAATTTACATATTCATTTAAACTTCAATTATTTAAAAGAGACAAATATACTTAAACCAACATACATTTTACATAATAATAATAATAATAATAATAATAATAATAATAATAATAATAATAATAATAAAACTTTTTTCTTTACCTCTCCATCTTTACCGTCCCATGCCTCTGTTTCTAAAATTTCTGGAAGTTTAGCACCTTTAATAGGTGAACTGCTACCTCTTCCTACTGAAACAGTTCTAAAAAATAACAAAATATGAATAAATTTAATATTTAACATGGTAAAGAAATTTTTAGTTGGTAATTTTAAATAATAGAAAGATTGGTATTCTCAATTATCTGCTCAACCCCCTAAAGGAACGTGCCAAGTGTTTTCGGCACCGTCATGTGAAATACTTATGGGTGCCTTTTCTTTACTCTCTACATTAGTGAGCCAAAATGATTGTTCACTCCCCCACAGCTGAACGTTGAAATTTATGAAAAAATCTTTAGATTTGTTAGTACTGAAATTTATGAAAATATCTTTAGATTTGTTAGTACTGGTATGCATTTTTTTGAATCTGAGGCAAACAATAAGTGCCCATACAAAAAATATAAAAATTTTTATTGGATAATGAAACTAGAGTAACAAAAGAAAAAACAGCGTTAAAGTTATAAAATGTTATTCCAAATCATTATCTAAAAAGCAAAAGGTCAAATAAAATATATCTAGATTGCCAGTGTTTTTAAATAGATATACATGATGAAAAACAACAGAAATATCTTATAGAAATTTAAATTTTTTAGCTTTACTTCTGGCAACTTTATTAGATTTTCAATATCTAGATGCTTTAAAAAGTCAGACTCTATAGAAAGGATAGCAAGATTTTTCTAAATGCTCCTGACTCATTCTAGATCATAAGCAATCCTTAATTTAATTCAGAAAATGATCTCTCAGCTGTAGCTACAGAAATTGGCATAGTTAACAGTAAATGTAATGCAACTGTAATATCTGGCAATGAATGGTTAAGTTATTTATTGTAACATAATAGAGTGTTTCTACTACAGACATTACATTTTTGTCTCAATTTTGCAGAAATGGTAATTAATGTAAAAGTTTTGTTCCATCTACATCTTTTTCCTTTTAATTTTTGTTAGTTAAAGCTACTACTTAAAGTTTTTTACAAAAAATAAATTGATCTTGGTCAGAATACTTGCCAGAGTCCTCAATATTCCCCAAAAATTTGAAAACATCAGAATGAGTGGATAACAGCTGAAAATCTTTCATTTACAGATGAAAGAGTAATATCTAGCATTGTGAAAAAACAACCAACTTTGAATTTTGATTCTTAGTTCAAATTTTCTAAGCTGCACTTTTGTAAGAAAATTTTTTTAAAAAATTTTTTCATGGCCTTAAAATTTCTAAACACTTGAATTTCACATCTACTTCTAAGCAAGATGATAATTATTTGGCATCTATGAGCATGTCAATGAAGCTATTATCTAACAAATATTCCTTTAAAAAGGTATCCAGGTTGTTGAAATCTGAAGCCTGTGAAACAGTACAAGTTTCACAGGCAATACAGTTCGCAAGCCTGCGAAATATTGAATTTTTTAGTTTGCAGGATCTTGGTAACAACATCAACTTTACTTAATATCTTGTACCACTAGTACGAATATCTAATATACATAGAAACTCGTAATTTTTAATTTCTTTTAACTAAGAAAGCAGCGAGATGTTTTGTAGTGTTATCAAAATTATTTCCAAACAATATTTCACAAAAAAGCATCATAAATTTCACCTAACTGGAATCTTATAGAGCTTACTGCATAAATTCTGCTAGACCATCAGGTATTTGACAAAGGTTTTAACATTAAATTTCAAATGTTACTTATCAACACAGACCACCGATTAGTTGAGGTACGGGGGGGGGGGGGAAGAGCTCCTGAACAGTTGGGGAAAAAAAAAAAAAATGCTAAACATATTGGATTTCACAGTGTTCTTTTACACGACAACGTTCAAACTGACAACTGTTGTTGTTGACAAACTGACAACGTTCAAACAAACAACAAACACGACAACGTTCTTTTACACGACAACGTTACAGTAGAGCACAAATACTTCTCATGAATTAATGTTCAAAATTCTTTTTCATACACCTTTATGTTTACCCTTCATATTCGAACCACGGTCCTAGGCTTATCTGCACATTTTATAAATATCTTGTAGAGATTTATTTTAGTTTTCTAATAGTTATTTTTATTTTGAAACAAGAACAACTTGATTCTTCCGTTACTTGTTTCCCACTTACAATTCCCTACCAGAACAAGTTTTTAGGACAGGCTAGTAGAGCATTAAGACACATGTTCTGCCTTCTGGTCTTGTTGTTGCTAAAAGTGTACTAATTTCAATACAATTTGGCCGTATTGTTGCGTGCATGCTCATATTCACCGGTGATCATTACTAAGGGCCAACTCTATTAGTTATTTCTGTGCAACTTTGGCTGGTTTTAGTTTAATTAGTATTAGACTAGTTTGTTACTTTCTATCTTGAGTTTAAGCTCAGGTGGAGGCTTACTGAAGCCTGCGAACGGGCCATCTGTGAATCATTGGAATTGAAATGAAGGCTAAATTTAACCCTTCTTTGGACTTATTACTGAATAGGAACTCTGCAATTTCTGAACCAAGAAACAGGCAACCATTTGCTTTGATAAGCTTCTTCTGCGAACAACTTTTATTGGATATGGCTCGTCTTGGAACCATACAGTCTTCTGCTGACCATACAGCCGCATACAATATTCTGCTATTTTGTTTCAGCTCATGTGCATAGATCCATGATTCACCACCTGTGCAGATGTTATACACAGCCTTTGATGCACCTTGAACGTATTTTTACATTTTCTTGCACCAACTGACACAAGCTTTCTTTTGAGCATTTGTCAGATTATGTCGGATCCAGTGCGAACAAATTTTTTATGGTCAAATTTTTATGTAATATCTTATTGATGCTTGCCATACTAATGTTCAAAGATGCCTCAATCTCAAGGTATGTCACATGACGATCTTGCTTTATCAGCTCATACACAGCATTGATATTTTCTGGTACAACAACTGATTTTGGATGATCTTCATGGAATTCATCATGGAGCGAACATCGACCATGATTAAATTTATTATACCAGTTTTTTACAGTGTTGTAGGATGGTGCTTTATCACTGCAGAAAGAACAGAGTTCATCGAAGCACTCATCTTGATAATTCAAATAATAATACTGATAATCTTGATAAAGTTATGAAAAATAATCGCACGAAACAGTTCATGAGTCAGTTCCATATTTTGCCAGAGATTAATTTTTCAATTTACTGTAAACAACACAAATCATGCTAAAATGGCAAAATGTTCTGAAGAAGTTATGGTTAAAAATATCAAACTTTAGATTGGAATTGCCTTCAGTCGACAAGAAACACTTACTGTTGCCAAGGCCAGAAATAGAAATAGCAACCTTCGTATATCCAAATTGTTTTTTATTAATTTTTTGCATCTCCTACTGTACTGGGCTGTAAATCATGTTAAGGCAGCTCTCTGAAGCAGCCAGGTAATGAATAGTCCAAAACTTGGAGTTAATCTCCTACTTATGCAACTAGTAACATATTGCTATAACCACACAGTTTTTATTCAACATTTCTGCAATCTCTTTCTATAAATGAATATTGCATTTCTTTTAAAGCTGACAGTTTATTGCATGGATGAGGGGATTTTCATATTAAAATTCATATTCTCTCACAAAGGAAGTTGACAGAAAACTATGATAGGTGTTTAATAGTATTAAGATGCTAGATTCAAACTACTTTAGAAAGGGAAGTGATTCACTAAAACAGAAAATAAAGTCTGCAGATTTCACGGAATGAATGTTTTAATAAGCAGAAAGTACTGTTTGAAAACAAAATTTACAGTGTAAGGTTTTTTTAATTTTCCTCCTCTCTACACAAGATCACCCCCCCCATATTTTTAAATATCAGCTTAACAGAATTTCAAAAAATAAGCAGAATATAATTTTTTGCAAGTTTTTCATTTTTGCTATATTATTTACTATTTATCTTTACTATAAAATCATACTCATATTTTAATAAACTTACTACGGCATTAACTATACATATTAATAATTGACAGTACCAAAAATTTCCTCAAAAATTTTAAATCATCTAATGCCAAGGATGTTTACTCTAATAAGAGCTCACTAAAGCTCATGTCATTGAAATGCAATTGAATTTATCACTTAATTAAATGTTAATACTTTCTGTAGTTTATACAATTACAGTAAAATTTAATATATCTCTTTAAATTTTCTTATATATTAATATTTTCTTTATACTTTTAGTTCATATGCTTTACATAAATTCAGACACGGCCGGGTAATTAGAATTATTATAATCATTTGCTCATTATACCCAATATAATGCAATCATCTGGGCATTTAAAATTATGATGCAATACTTGTATATTTTAAAATGGCTAGGTAAAACATTTGCATGAATGTAAAATTCTTAGTTTTCAAATTCAAATGATAAATGTAAAGTTCTTCATTTTCAAACCCAATTTTTAGTAAACGTCAATAAAAACTAATACACCTCTCCTATTTGTGACAGCAATTACAGCTTAGTATTTACAAAAGACAAAGCCTGCCCCATTTATTTATATAATGGCTATAAAACTTTTGAAATTATAATCAAGTTTAAAAATTAATAATAAAAAATCAGAAAGCTTTCAGATTTTACATTACACCAAAAGGGGCTTTTTTTTTTTTTTTTTTTTTTTTTTAACATTTTGTGTGTTACTTTTATTTAAGAAATATCATGTTCTTTGCACTTAAACCATAAAATTCAATTCACCATCAAAATCGCAAAATAATTTTTAAATGAGCAAAACTTTAGAATTTCCGATACACAGTCTTGCACACTGGAGATAAAAGTTTTTTTTCCCCGTAAAGTGTTGCCATTGTTTGCTTTAAAATTGCTCAGTTTGTTAAATCAAAAATTCATTAAAGTGTTACAAAATATGAAATTGTTAATAAAACAAATTTTGGTATTATTCAATTTCGAGGGCCGTAAAAAAATTGCAGCGAAAATGTATGCGCAAAAGCGCCAAACCTAGCAAACGTGCCCATTTAACAGCGCGCCAAATATAACGTACGCGCTGATTTCAGATTGTGTGAGTTTATATAGTTCTATATTTCTTAAGACGCCATTGAAACACTAGTTTACTTTTTAAACCCTTTTTTCATATCCTATGGATTTAACAATTTGGGAATTGCACATGATGAAAAGTCGACAATAGAATTTTGGGTAAAGTGGCAGAATCACCCACTGCTTGACGCGTTTTTAAGAATTGCACATACTCGGTATCCATGTGCACATCGACCTATTTTCACTTAAAAAAAAAAATCCTAGAATTGCACAAAAATGGCACTGCACACATCTTTGACTATCTATGAGCACATCGACCGATTTTCACTTAAAAAGTAAAAGAAAATTGACAAAAATGCAATTGTTTTTAACCCTTGTAAAAAGCGGCAAAAAATAAGTGAGCGATTCTGCACTTTACCGAGAATATTTTCAAAGAAAAGGCATCGTTCATTATAGAAAACTATGTTTGAACAACCGAGATGAAATTATGCTTTAGCGATAAATCGGTAGCGAAATAGCGATGCAGGCATTCATTCAGTTATGTTTAGCAATTTTTATATAAATTATAATGATCTGAAATAATTATTTACTCTTATGCTTCCATTCAGTCATGTTTAGCCTTTTTCATATAAATTATAATAATAAAAATGTATTATATGAAATTAACCTTTCATCTAAATTAAAACATCTTAAATTGTTATTTATTATTATACTTCCTTTCTTGCTGCAATTATTAGGGTTGCTACAACTATTTTTGACAGATATGGCATCAACAATAATTTGGCGATTTTTTATGGCCCTCAAAACCGAATAGTACCCAAATTTTAAATTCCTACTTTGGGCTTCCAGATGCCCATATTTGGGGGGAAGATTTCATTATTCAAAATCTGATGGCTCTGTGTAACGTTGTTTTATACCAATGCAAAAAACATACATATATTTATGCAGATTCTTCATTATTTAATTTCTTCAAATATAACACAGGGCGATAATACTTTGTGGCAACAGTTTGAAAAGTAAAACAACATTTATAGTGAACCAACACAAAATGACAAAACGAAATTAATAGTCATTCAGGGCAAATTGCCCCTTTGGACTAATAACAGCCTATTCCAATTGCAGATAACTCTTAAATAGTTGGAAATAAGTGCCAATTTAAAATATTCAATATTTTAAATAACTTATTTAAAAATAAAATAAATCTATAACTACATTGAATAAAAAATACCTGATGAATTCTGATATTCCATCATAACTGAAAGGTCCTCTGAGAATAGAAAATTTCATCTTCCTGGCATTCAACACAGCCATAGCCTAAAATATATATTGTTTCAATAGAAGTAATCAAAAATAAATATTAAACTGAACACTTATTAAATAATTTATTAATTAATATGCATCCACAAACTTAAAAGGAAAAGGGCAAACAAATATAATTTCCCCTTTTACAGATAATTTATTCATTACACTTAAATTAATATCAGTCTTCCTTTACAAATAATTAATATTTAGTTCAGTTATCTGACTATTGCAAAGTACATGAGGGTATCTGATGAAGTGGAGGAATACTTTTGTTGAAGACCTTCTAATGGAAACAGGCTTTTATGTTATGCATAAGAAAATAATGAAACCAACCATGCAGCCATCCTATTAGTCCGAGTGAACCTAAGTTGAAATACTGCTATTCATCAATCAAAATATCTTGAAAGGGTTAATTTCACTTTTACTTTGAAGTACATTTACAGCTTTTAAATGTATATTACACACTATTTAGGCAACATATATTACACAAAGAATTCAAGTACTACCTGCACAAAAATGAATACCTTCATGTATTCAACATTTTGTTAAACATCATACCAGGCTCATATTCACATTATAGACCAGTGGTCTTTAAACTTTGCAAACTCGTGAACCCTTACAACTATAAGTTTTTTTTTGGGGGGGGGGAACCCCTTCACAATCTTTTAGAAATGCATCTCAAAAATATTTAAAATAGATCAATCAGTATGTTACAAGTACTTTCGCAAAGACAATACAATAGTAAGGCATTTTTAATTAAAAAAATTTTATTATAAAAAATGTAATTTACTCATTTACAACATTAATTTGTGACCTAAGTGTCACATACTTATGCAGTATATTTGACGACAGGGGTGCACTTGCTCCTTTTTTAATATATATATATATATATATATACACACACACACACACACACACACAAACTGTTAAAGTCTAGTTCTACTAATATTACCTGTATTAAGATTTCACATCCAGCATTTAATTTTTTTCTATATTTTGTTTTTATTGCCATATACAGGGTGAAATATTTTTTGCTTAAATACATTGTTCTGAATAGGCATTAAAATGCTTATAGCTGTGAGAGAAACTTCTGGGTATTCTGCAAATCTATCTAAAAAACTGACTAATTTTTAAAGGTAACTGAATGTATCTTTATGTATTTTTAAATTATGAACACTAGTTAACTAGTACAAGTGCTTTATAATTTTCTTTTCACTTGCGGAACCCCGGGATTTCATGAAACACAGTTCAAAACTACTGTCAAGGAGTAAACAAAAGCATGAAAATCATACAACTAAACCATTCTATATTAACAGCATAAAACTATCGGCATTTCACAGCTTTAGCTACTCAGCCATGAGAACATAACTAATGTAATTGCTATAAATGACAACTATTTATTTTAATCATTCTTCATTAATTTAATCCCTGTTACTGTGAAATTAAGGAAAAAAGGAAATGTCCAAAATGCAATCAATTGCAATTTATGGTTTTGAAAGCTATCGTCAAACTAAGATGAAAATTCATCAACGTTTTCTTTTCATTGATTTAATCCCTTAATAAGCACATTTGAATGAACCTCATATTGCCAGAAATGTGAATCATTATTTTGTTACAGCCATATTCACTGAGCACTTTTGCTTTGCCACATTTCATTAGTGCCAGGCATTGTCAGCTTAATTTGAAGTTCTTCCGTGGTGATAATTGTGCTTATGACCATTTGTTGTACAGTTATATTTTCCATCTAATCTTTTTTTTTTTTTTTTTTTTTAACAGCAATGGATTTTATGAATTGGATATTTCCAAGAGATGAGTAACTGTTATTCTGTTTCTTTAATAAAGATAATCTTTGGAATGATTATACTTTAATAACCACCACATGGAATTAATATGATGAGACACTGAAATGGCTGTGCAGACTTCATTGATGCTGGGAATAATGAAGATGTCCAAACACAAATTGAGTTTCTTGAATTGCAGTTTCCTTTCATCACTGCCACATTATTTGTTTAGTTGTGGTGTTGGTAATTACCATTACCAAAACTTGCTTTAAGTACTGAATCAATTTCAAAAGCATGAAAAAGCAGCCTGGAATACCATAGAAACAATTGCCGCAACTTAGGCTGGATCTCCACTAACTTTCACAACTGATGGGATAATACACAAGTACATAAAAAATAATACATGCTGCAGAGCACATTATTTGCTCCTACATGCATAGTAGTTAAGAACATATATTTATTACAATTATTTATTAGGTTTAGAAAAATTGTATATGTAATATAATTTTTTTACTTCAAAATTCTTTGAATGTTAGCTAAGTCAATGAAGTTAAAAGCGATAACTTACCGGATAACCAAAACCTCCAATACCCAAAGCATCTTCTAACTGTGGTTGGGCTAAAGCTTCTGCCCAAACCCATCCCCACAAATTTTTCCTATAACGATTACCAACCTTCTTTAAAATATCAATGTATTCATTTCTGCATGCAGATTGACAATCTAATATGTGAGGCAATATACTAATGACACACAAGGGATGATTCTCACAAGCATCTTTCAGGACTGAAGCATCAGTTACCTTAAATAGAAAGAAAATTTAATTATATAAGATTAAGTTTATAATAAGTTTCAGTTATAACAATTAAATTCAATGATTAAAAAACACTTAAGAATATCATTTTCCTAACTACTTCCCATGCCCTTTAGTATTTTCTATCCCCTACATTTTCAAAATCCTAGGTTGGCAGAAAATTAACTTTCTAATAGAAAATTAATCATATACTTCATTAGTAAAGACTTCAATAACAAAATGTTTACAAATATCAAGTCAAATACCTTTATATCAGATAAAATTCTTGGTGAACAGCATATACTGCCAAGCATAACATGAAAAAGCATAGTATCGCTATCACAGAAAATAGCTAACATGAGAAAGCATTTATTCTCATAGTTATTATGCTTTTTGACATTAGTAGTATCTACTATTCCATTGTGGTATTACAGTAAGAACTAATTGCAAAATTTATTTTAAAAAATGAACATTATGCATAAATTAGAGGCTACACAACAATATACTCAATAAATACATGGGACTTGTAAATCATTTGCAGTTGCATAAAATGTAACTTTTTTGAAAAAAAAAAAAAAAATTTTTTTTGGAGGTATTAATAAAACCCATTCATAATGCTAAAATTTCTCTGTAATTCAGAATTCTTCATACATATTTTATCTATTAAAATCAAGCTACATTTTCCTTTCTAGTACAATCATATTAATTAAAATAATGAAATTCATGAAATTAGTATCAAAAGTAAAGACATGTTATTGAGACTGAGCAAATGCCAATTTTCAAATCTAATTTTGAACATTACACATCTTTTTGTTGTATTCCTTTGTTTTTTTAAGATAATCTTTTCATTTATTTACATTACAAATTTTTAATGACTTCTAATAAAACATATATATTTTGTAAAATTATAAATATATTTTTAATATTAAAGCTGAAAAACCTATTTAATACATTGAACAATAACAACAAGATACATCACTTTCTTATTATCTGCACTCGTGCTCAACAGTTTTCAACTATTTGAAAGTTCGTGAAGACTTTGCGAATATAGAGATTATTTGTGAACTTATTAACAACTTTAGAGAGAAACATTTGTCTGGTTATCACTACATCTATTTCAATGATGCACTGAATGCCACCTATTTTTTCCAACAAAAGATACACACATTTTTTTGCTTCTTTGCACAGTTTTTCTCCTAAAGTGCACAGAAATTTGTTTTTCCTAAAACCTATCAGAGAAATGTACAAATTCAGCTTTGTACATTAGCTACACTCATGATCACGTTTAAGAGCAGTTGAAACTTTGATGTACACTCTTGTAATGAAAATGAAAGACAGCAAACTCCATAGTTACATTATGATTCATTACAACACAAATGTATTCAATATAAAAAGCAATACCAGACAGAAAAATGACTGCTGAATTCAAAAGTACTCAAACATATCCATGCTACACATACAATCTGGGTTGCCCCACATAAATACTCTTTAAAATCTCAAAAATATTTTAATACTGTAAAAAGATGTTTATACTTTAGTACACAACAGATTTACAGCATAGTTTGATACCTAACTCCAAGATACCCACAGAAACTTCAATTTATTACATATAACAAGAATGAACATTTATTCCCATGAAGGCAGGTAAAAGAAACCTAGCACAATTGAATCTAATAGATTATCTGCAATAACAACAGAATTTCTCCATTTAATAAAATCTAAAATCATGAAAATTGCAGACTATAGTTCTATAGCTCTTAATTAACATTAAATCTCATTAAAACTAATGTTTAATTACATGATAAGTAACTGTAAACTGTTCTTCATTTGACCCTTATATAAATATTACTGAATTGGATTGGATTGGATTATTGTAATTTGGCACAAAACCTATCAAGATTATCTGCACCAGACAAATGGTAACAATGCAATTAGTCCATTTGTAAAAAACTTCCAGCTTAGGTAAAAAGAGACAGATTACAATCTATGATAAAAGCTGATATCTTTTAAAAAACAGGTTAAAGTCTATTATAAATAGCCAATATCTTTTAAAAACAGAAACAAATTACGATGATGTGTTTTTCCAATTAAATTTCCTAAGTCCAGTTCTGAACAATTAAAATGTTTTTGGCGAAAATAATTAAAACTCTGGCATTCCACCAAGATATGATTGACTGTCAGATCTGCATTGCAGTTTGGGCAGCTGGGATTCTCTTCTCCCGTCAGAAGATACTCATGGGTCAGGCGACAATGGCCAATTCTCAGTCGAGTCAAGAGGACATCTTCCTTTCTATTAGCCATACATGGCCAGTATCCAATGGTGGGTTTTACATTTCTCAACTTGTTATATACAGGGTGATTATAATTAAAGTTTAAGTTTAAAAACGCTATAAAAAAAGAACCACTGATGAAAATGATGTGAAATCTGAAAGGAGTATTATTGAAGAAGGCGGAAAGCGTATGGCAGAAGAAAAAAATTTAGTTTCAAAAGTTAGCAACAGATGGCGCTGAAAGCGGCAGAATCACGACGAGAAACGAGAAATTATTCGTAAAACAACGGCTAAGGTGGAAGTTACATATTAAAACACATTGATAAATTAAAATTGTTGAATACTTTTATTTGCATGACTGTACATATCACATCGAAAGGGACAAATCGGTTTCAAGAGTTTTGCGGCGACATACCGCATAAGAACCATTCATCAAAGAAGTTCGGAACTGTCGCGAGACTGGCGCAAAACATGTTCAGTATGGTGTCCACCGTTGTGTGCAACAAGTTGAAAGCGAAAAACAGCATGTTCCACAACGGATCGCAGTGTCTCCGGGGTGATGTTCAGAATGTGTTGCGAAATGCGTGCCTTTAATTCCGCTGAATTTGCAATTGGAGCACGGAACACAACATCCTTCAGATATCCCCACATCCAGAAATCACACGGAGTAAGATCAGGCGATCGGGACGGCCAGGCTGTAAGGAAATGACGGCTGATAATTCGAGCATTTCCGAAATGGCGCCACAGCAGCTGCTTCATGGGATGTGCAATGTACGGAGGAGGAGCGCCATCGTGCATAAAAATTGATTTCATCCGACGCATGTTGCAGCTGTTGCAGAGCTGCGCAAAAGAGACGTAAACCTCTGACCAGTGACGGTTGCGGTAGGTAACAGGACCGGAAGCACCCGTCTGCTTCGAAAAAATATGGCTGTAGGATGAATGATGCCGTAAAGCCACACCACACCTGTGACCTTTTCAGGATGAAGTGGTACGGGGTGGCGTTGCCAGTGGATTTTCTATTGCCCATATTCAACAATTCTGGGTATTGACATGTATCCTGTCAGATGGAAATGGGCTTCATCTTCATCTGTCCACAAAATTTTCCACGGCCATTCATTATCCACTTCCATGCGAGCCAGGAATTCTAACGCAAACGTCTCCCTTAGCTGCCAGGTCAGACGGAAGCAACTCCTGCACATGGCCAAATTTTGTACGGATAGCATTGCAGGATGTTCCGTACAATTTTCAGCACCACGTGCTCGTAGGCCTGTCCAATGCTCGGGCAACTTCCTCGTGCACTGCACGGTTGCACACTGCCGGCCGACCCCTCCTGTAATGCTTGTGGCCTACTTCTTCAACTACCGTTCGAATGCACTCGTTTTCTCCCTCTAACCAGATTGCACATCAAACGAACCTGTCGTTTCGAATTTTTGCATCATTTTCTTTAGACCTCACAACACTCATTAGACCAACGCCTTCTTTTATACCCTTCAGTGTCCTGAATTTTTGCAGAGCTACTCTTGCATCATCATCACTTCTAGTAATACAACTTTACCAGCAGTAGAGCACGGTCCTGCAGTGAAACACCCATGGTGAACGTCTGAGACGCGAAATGAGGAACAGCCTGGTACCTGGCAGTTTTATAACACTGAAATTTAACTAACATTTTAATTTACGTCTTCTTCCGCTTGCAGCGCCATCTGTTGCTAACTTTTGAAACTACATTTTTTCCTTCTGCCATACGCTTCCCGCCTTCTTCAATAATATTCCTTTCAAATTTGACGTCATTTTCATGAGCGGTTCTTTTTTTTATAGAGTTTTTGAAACTTTAATTATAATCACCCTGTACTTTGTCATCCCATTGCTTCTGCCATTTGCTGAGAATTTTGCTTTTGACAAACCCTTTGATGTCTGCTAGTGAATCTGAAGATTGTACATTGTGGTTCCCTTAATGGCAACGTGTCCTGGGATCCACAAATAAAGAATCTGGTATCCCCGAATTTTTAAAGAATGATTCAACTTCAGGATTCTGGTTGCAACTGGATGAGTACATTGAGCGTGATTTTCCAATGACATTAAGGCATTCATGGAATCTGTGTAGATAATAAATTTTATGTACTTTTGTTTTAAATATTACTGAAAAATATCAATAATAATAAAAGCAAAAAAGACAAAATTTCATTAAGCTGTTATTTAAAAAGAAAACATGTTCAAAATTAGCTCAGATTCTAGCCTCATCAAGAATGAGTCACTAACTTCCTTCATTTACTCAAGAAAGGAGGGAAAGTTTATTTTCTATAAGCAAGAATGAACTTTAAGAGTTTTCAACTTTTAAAAGATGCAAAAATTACATTTTTAGAGAATATTAAATACAGATTCAATCTCGTCTGTTTTTATATTATTTTCACTATTACGTGTATGGCAAATTTATGTTTTTGTAAGTACAATATAAATACAAATCACTTTCTCTTGAAACATCCACAACTACTAGGGCTGTTTACTGCAACCAAACAGTTCCAATCCTATAATTTTAGTCTAAAAGAACACAATTCAGATAATCCCATTAATGTATATGCATATCCCTTCTCCACACCAAAGAAAAATGCATATTTATATATCTTTCAGCAAAGTATGATTTATACCCCAAAAAGAAGTTATATATTTGATACAGAATTATGTATTACATTGTATCAAGTGCAATAACAGGCCAAAAGCAATTGGGATTATAGGTCATGAACTAAGACATTTTACTGATAATATATGCATCCAAGGAAAATATGAATCAATTCACCTAAGACATCATAAAATAAAAATTGAGCAGAAAAATCTCATGTGGGGGAGGGGGAACTCACAAAATTCCAATTAAAAACTTGCAAAAGAGCAATAGGAGGATTATATCAAAATCATAAACATGGTATTAAAGAATATTTGATTAAAAATAACTTTTATATAACTACAAATTAATTTCAGGGAAATTAGAACTAATTATTAGAAAGTTGTTAAATGGTAATAAAACTTGCCAGAATCTCAGAAATTTCAGAGTTTATATACTTAATTTTGCAAGTAACTTAGAGATGCTTATTAAATATGAAAAAATGCAAATACATTTAAACTAATATTTCTCACAAAATTAGAATATAAACAGAATAACCAGTTTAATTTCCTCATACAGTTAAAAGTCGTAAATTTGGAAACCCAGAATCTGGACCTCAAAGCTACAAACTTTTTGCGCATGCGTTGCGTTGACATATTTTATAAAAGTAAGCTTGAACTTTCAATTATGTCAAATAGAATTTCCAATGCTAGAGCTGCCAAAGGATCTACAAAGCGAAAGCATATTTCGATGTCCATCAAACAAAAAGTGGAATTGATCCCTTATCTTCAGAGCAGATGTTTTTATTTCATTTGGCTTATAATTCCTTACTAAATGTAGTATTTCATCTCGATGTACTCCGTCTTTGATATGATTTAAATCAAATTTCCTCGTCATTATAATTCGTTTCCGATACTGAAGAAAGTGACACAGAGGTTATTGAAAACGGAAAAATTTCGATTGACAAATTAGTCGGTATTCTCGACACAGCAATTATAGAACGTGAACAGTGGAACTTTGAACAAGAAATTATGTCTGTTTACAGAATTAAAGAGAAAGTATTATCACATAAAACGAAGCAACTTAAACAACTTACATTGAAAGAAATGTTTAATAAAGTAAACAAATAAATATTAAGCTTTTTTTTTTTGTAAATTGATACCCTTTAGATCATAATTGTTCTTTATTTCATAAATTACGGTTTCATATTTTTAATTTTATAATTTTTGCATGCCATCTTACCAGATTTCAACTGATGATCTATAATTCGGAAAAATCGATAATCCGGGATCGGCAAAGTCCCGACGAGTCCAAATTAACGAATTTTGACTGAATTACATTTGCTAAGACACTGAAGAAATGGCTGATTCCATTTTATAAAATTTGAATGCCTTTATTCCTAATAAAAAGATTGTTATATTTATATGAAGATGAACATTTTCTTCAGATAGTTACAAGTTATGTAAGCAACCCAAAACTTTTATTATATTTATTACAATAAATATTTCGATTTATACAGATTGATATGAGCAATTAAAAATTCTGTTGAATATGAAGACTACTTAAACAGCTATTATAAAAAAGAAAAAATGCACATAATGATATTTAGGGAGTCCAACTAGCGTAATTTTTATCAAAGTATTTAAATTTCTAATTAGATTTCTCATGATTTAAATGCATTTTGTTATTTTAATGTTTTTTTTAATGCAGAAAAATATTTTAAGAACTTTATTCCTTAAAATTGCTTAGTTTGTTATTCAGTAAATTACAGATTATATACAGGGTTCATAGCCACATTTTAGTTAAAAAAATAAGCACCTATAAGCACTTTTCAAGCACATTTTTAGAAAAAAAAAATAAGCACCTGTCTAATTACATTATACACAACTGACCATAACCTTAATTAGACTTGTAATTTAAAATATGAGAAATGCAGTATTTATTAAGAGAGAATAAGCATTACCTCAACCATGGAAAATAATTACTTTTTTTCCCTTTAAATTTTAAATAACAGTTCAATTTACAGAACTAGTTTACAAGTGAGAGAAAAAAAAAAAAAAAAAACTATGCCGAACTATATTACAAGATTTAATGATGAAATTTCAGTTCAAAATAGAGAAAATCAATAATAATAAGGCATATTTATTGTATTTCGCTTGGAACCTAATAATAAATACAATTTATTTTTCCACTCATATTGATATTTAAACAATTTAAATCTAAATTCTGAATATTTTCTAAATTTTCATTGTATATCAGTTTTCTCTTAACAGATATTGCAAGCAAAGTAATTGTAAGTAAAAAAGAGAACATTTCTGAAATCAGAAGACAGGAAATTTGCTTCATGCAGTCATCCTTTAACAGTAAAAGCTTAACTAAGCCTGCATACTTGGAAATTGGCGAATATTCGGACAGTTCGAGCGTAACTTGAAAAAGAGGAGCGGAGGCGCGGGGAGGGAATGTAGCCGCTCTTTAGATTTTTCCGCTAAATAAATGTTTTTGACATTTCGATATGTGAATCATACAAAAACAAACCAATGGAACTGAAAAATATTCTGCTTAGCAAGCACAGTAAAACTCTTTAAGTGTTCATAAACAAATCTCAAACAGAACATCAAAATTAATATCTCTGCAAAATATCGCAAACGTTATTGCACAATACGTGTGCCGTAATTCTTCCCTACGTGATATTACGCAATCGGAATCAACAACTGCCGGTATTGGGAGAATAAAGAACTAAATAACTGGTGTTTTCCATTCTAATATTCAACAGACGGCGTTAAATTTCCGGAATAGAATCATTCTTCGCTTGGGTTGGTAGACTGCAGAACTTCTAGTCCTATTCAATCCAGTTTGGAAAGTTAAAAAAAAAAAAAAAAAAAAAAAGAGGGGGTTCGTTGCTGTTTTGCAGCGAAATGGGAGACCTTCGTACTATATAATGTATTGGCCAAAAAAAATGAAATTATTTTGACTATTCGATTACTTTCCCTTTATTTAAGCCATTCCGATATTATTCCTAGAAAGCTAATCTGTGTTAAAATACAACCATTTTGGAAATTTACTATACTTCAGCAGTTACTGCAACTATGTTATTATAAACATTCATACATATACTCATAATATAAGCATAACAATCATAATAAACACGAATATGAACTGACCAAGCGGAAAGAGAATGCAAATTATTAAGATCTTGATAGAAATTCAAACGTGTGTAGTATTTGGGTGGGAGGAAAAGAATGCCGAATGTACCGGAATTTTCTACTGCTTTCGCAATTCTTTGACCAATAGAACGACATGCACCTGTCTGTACTCTTCGTGCACACCAAAGGTGGTGTTATGTTAATGCAGAGAAAGGGGAAAAAGCTATTTCCGGGAATACGATTCACCACCTGACATTTCCATATTAGGAAGAAAAGTTGTTTATTTAGTTTCGGCTTTGGTACGGGGGAAAAATTGAACGTTCATTAAAAAAAAAAAGGAACAAGTAAAAAAAAAAAACCCCACTTAAAAACAAAAAATAAGGGCTTTAAAGAAAAAGTAAGCACCTATAAGGGCCTTTATATTTTATTTTCAAATATAAGGACTCATAAGCACTTATAAGGACCGCTACGAACCCTGTATATACCTTATGCTTAATGGCAGTATGCTTGCCATTGGAAGATAGAATATTTTAGTTTAGGCAGTAGCAACCAATTGCTCTTAATTAGCCCAGTTTGTTGATTAAAACTGAAAGAAGATCTTACATTTTGTCAAGTAGCAACAGTTTAGTCTTAAAAAAAAAAAAAAAAAAAAAAAAAAAAAACCCGAAAGGTTTAAGATTTTAAATTACGTCTAAAGAGGCTTTTTTTTAACATTTTGTGTGCTAACTTTATTAAATATCATGTTCTTTGCACTTAAACCACAAAATTAAGTTCAATAGCAATGTCGCAAAGTAATTTTAAAATGAGCATATCTTTAGGATTTCCGATACACAGTTCCAAGATAAACAGGTTTTTCCCTCCCGTAGAGTGTTGCCATTGCTTGCTTTTAAATCGTTGAGTTTGTTACTCAAAAATGCTTTAAAGTTTTACAAAATATGAAATCGATCATAAAACAACAAATTCAAATTTCAAATTTGATCTTACATGCCCATATTCGTAGGAGGATTACGTCATTCAAAATTCGATGGCTCTATGTACCGTTGTTTTATCACAATGTGAGAAATATACATACATTTATGCAGATTTTTTATTATCTAATTTCTTCAAACATAATGCAGGACTCTAACATTTGGTGGCAAAAGTTTGAAAAGTGAAACGGACATTTTATAGTGATTCAATGCAAAATCGCAAAACGAAAACAATAGTTCTTCAGGGACAAAGCCCATTTGAACTAAAAAGTTTTATTTCATATCATGTTTATTAGTGGTAAAACTGTTCATTTTCATACCACTAAGTTTTTTAATAAAAAATGAAATAAATCAAAAACGAATTCAAAATTCGAGCTGCACATGTTCAGTTGGAAGACTGTGCATGTTTAAAATTTGATGGCCTAGGTTTTGCCATTTTCCTGCAGTGTGAGGAACATACAAACATATTTTTCATTATTTAGTAGTAAAGATAAATAATTACATTCTTTTTAAAATGTCTACTGAATTTTAAAATTTGTTTCATTTTCCATTTTATTAAAATTATACTAACTGCATCATTACATATAAAAAATCAACAAACAATTAAAAATAGATACAAAATTGGGATAGTACGAATAAAAATTCAAGACATTTTAAAATTTTACCTGCACTACTTCAGGAGGAGGTGTGAACTCTGCATGTTTTTCCAGTGCCCAGTTAATTATATCTTGAGCTGTTCTTCCACCATCATACTCTTCAGCAGTACCATCTTTGCTACCTTGAGGGAAGTATTTAATTGTGGGAAAGCCTTTAATCTAAAGTTGAAACAAATACATTAATTTAAAATTGACAAACCAGTTATGTTTTAAAATCTTGCATATCACCACAATATTAAAATTATGAATTAGAATTCTTTAAAGATACAGCATGTATTTAGCACGAGGGGATTGAGGTAAGAACTCGCAATATATACACATTGCAATGTGAAATAACAAAGCATCATAATTATTTATCAACAAAGTTACAGATACGAAAAAGGCACTTAACTATTAATTAGAGGTAGAAAGATTTCATGATATGATTGATGCTTAACCACCTCAGTGGCACAGCTTTTTAGATCTATTCATGAAATGTACAGACGAATTTTTAGAATGATTTAGATAAACAATTAAAGAAAACAATGTCTTTGAATAAAAATTTCTGGCAACAGCTTATTATTTAAAATAAAAAATATTACTTGTTACTTTTAAATTTATTCTTTCAAAAATGTCACATATAAACAAACTGTGGACTGAAGGATATGTTTCTGTGCTTTCCAAAGAGAAATATTCCTATTCCAGATTTCAGACACATTGTGAAATGCATGGTAAGAAAAAATCCACCACTGCAGAAATCAACAGAAAAATCTTTAAATACATCTGTAGCAACAATAAATAAAATTCTAAACCCAGATTTATGATTAAAAAAGCTAAAAAAAAAAAAATATTCACCAGCATTTGCTGAGGCCTGCGGCTCAACAAAGAACAATTTGCAGAACCCTGAATGAAAATTACTTAGCGGAAGATAAATGGAAATACATTGTGACAACTTGATGAAGCATGGGTTTACCTAAATGAGTGCAACAGAAAAAAGTCTAACTATTATCGTAAATGAAAAGAAAATGGAGAAACCTGGTACCATCAATGCAAAGAAAGTTTCAATAAGGAGCTTATGATTGTTGCAGGATTCTCTTATGAAAAATTTAAAATAAGAGTAGAAAATAACGTGAAAAATCACTCAAGATACTATCAAGAGAATATTTTATGACCCATATTTATAAAAGAAGTTTCATTTCTTTATCTCAGTTACTTTGAAAGAGTGAAATTTCATCAAAACAAAGCAGCAAGATATACTTTGAAAAGTACCACTGCATTCCTTGGGGGGGGGGAAGACTGATAGAGTTATTGCATATATATCTTTTCACTATATCTCTGTGAAGTTTCCCGACATTTCATTAGTGGGCTATTCTGCCTTTGGTCTCTTAAATAGAGCTCTTTCTAAGCACAAATCCATTATGATTGATGAACTCTGAAAGGAGTGGAAGAAAAATGGAAATCAATAATACTGGAAACTTTATGAAAAGCCCTTCTTATAATGGAAAATTTCAATGCAGACTTATAAACCAGAAAAAAGACTATCAGATTAAACATTTGAAAAAATACTCTTTACATTTTAAACATTAATTAAAAGGGCATCAAAATCGTTCTAAAGTTGCGGAACACCGTCTACAGCAGTGGTGCATAACCTTTGGACTCTCGCGAGCACATTTCCACAACATCAACATTTTTCTTAAACATATTTCCAGTCTTATGCGATATCTGAAATATTAATTTTGTGAAATGGGTTTGAGATGAATAATAATAGTGGTTGAACTTTATGGAAATCAGAGAAGCAGAGTTCAAACTTATTTTTCAGTGCATTTAGGTTTTTCCAGTATTTCTCTGTTTCAATTGTGGTTTGTAATATGGCTTGATAAATTCTGAAAATGGACGAAATTTTTTTCTTCAATCTGATTTATTCACAAATTTAACTTTATCTGAAAAGCAGTTGCAGTCCCAGTCAATTGAAAAAGGGTTTTTTCTTTTCCCTGGAGATCTTCATTCAGTGTTTAGTTTATTATCTGTGTGAAAATACAAAATTAATATTATGGTCCAATTCTTTAACTTTTGTTTCCAGATTCCCAAAACTGCTTATTGACAAAAAAGTTACAAATCGTGAAGTACTTTCCCCGCGAGCTCTAACATCAGAATGAAGCAATAAGATTCCATGTTCGCTATCATCAGTCAGCAATCAATTATTTTATAACGTCTTGCAAGATATCTCTTGCGACTATAAATGCTTACCATATTTTAACAATTAAGAAATACAAATGAATGATTATTTTAAAAATATTTTTAGTTCATAGTACCTAATCGGGCTGGCGAGCACATACAAAACGATCGGCTAGCACACTTCTGCTCGCGAGCACAAGGTTGGGTACCGCTGCTCTACAGTCTATTAGTTAAGTTTGTATAATTACTTATTCACTTTTGAATTATCATTAACTTCCATTAAGAAAATAAAATTTAAATTACAACCTAATGTATCTAAAAAAATCTCATGATGGAATAAGGTTAGATTAATTGATTAAGGCATTGATCTCAAGCTCAAACTGCATGCAGGCCAAATACATGATCCGAAAGGGCAGAAAATATTTTAATAACATTTTTAAATGTTTACAAAAATAAATAAAATAAATTTCAAATTTTAATTACTGAATGTTTATTAAAACATACATAAACAGTGATAATAACACAAAGGCAAAAATTCAAATTTATATTAATTTTGAAGCAAAAGTCTATACTTGCAAAAAAAAGTTCTTCTGGTTATACTCGGCAATTCAAAAGTATTGAAAGCTAAATATTAAATTTTAAACCAATATTCATTTTAGGTAATTTCAGTATTGTGAATTAACCATTAATTAATTTTAATCTTAAGTGGAAAACCAGATATTTCAGAATAGGGAATCATCACCAGCTGTTGGCTAGCAAACTAAACAAACTAAATTTGCTGACTGCACCAGTATGGGAAATCTTCTTACCTTACCCTAGTCATGTAGCCTGGAGTACAAGCATGCAGATATTCATTTTATTTTTTTTTTCTCCTTCAGTATTAGTTTATGCATATAAGCACAGTCCATGTATTTATGTTTCAAAAACTAAGCACCATATCTGCAACAAATGCATAATTGAAATGTAGTCACAAGCTGCATAAAATTGCTTCAGGGCAGCAAGTTCCAGACCACTATATTAAGACAAAGCCACACTCAGTGGCCATCTACCTATGGGAAAAGATGCCTTCTTAGAGGACACTTTAAAAGAAATGGCTCATATACATCCATGATTAGATAAAAGTAGCCATGCCACTTAAGGTTTTAATAGCAAGCAATGTGATAAACTATCAGATACGACACTATTGTTAAACTAAGTAAAAGTTAGGTGCTGTATTTTGCCAATGGCCAGTTTCTGTACTTAAGAAACTACATTTATGGTTGACTCATGTTAAAAATCTATCTGTTTCAAACTCTGTTGGGCAGATTTCAGGAAAACCAAATAAATTATAGTTCTACCTAAAAGCTTTAAAAAAAAAAAAAAAAAAAAAAAAAAAAAAAAAAAAAAAAAAAATAGTCCTCATGATCAAGAATATCCATTGCTTTTAAAAATATAACTACCTTAGTCTTTTATGCCACTTTGATTTAGATTACATTATTTGAATATCGCAAAACAAATGAGGACTATCTCCCTAAGGAAAGGGATGTTTTTCTGTGAAGAACTTTGAGGGAAACTGCCTCGTATTCAAAACTAGTTTGATTTATGACACTACTGCATGATTACAATGCCACAATAAAATAAGGTCTGGCTAACACAACGTTTATATTGAATACATCAACAGTATTTTAAGGCATAATTAGATGTTCTTTAAGTCACCTTTTCAAATAAAATGTCAAAAAATATTTCCTCCAATCCAAAATTCTTGATATTATTATTACAACAGCCCCCAAATTAGACTCATTAATTTTTACTTAAAATTATATTAGAATTTCAAAATTGGTAAGTTTACTTATAACTTACATCATATTTCCTTGCCATTATTGTATGAACTGTAGCATCCAGTGCTCCCAGTTTCACCTTTCCTTTTAATTCTGTAGCTGCTTCAGCCCAGTGAGGAGCCAGTCTCTGACAATGTCCACACCATGGAGCATAAAATTCAACAAGCCACATTTCATTACTGTCCAAAACAGTCTCTTGAAAGTTGGAGTCTGTTAACTCAATTACATCTTTTGGGTCTCCCTTTACAAGAAAAATCATTTTATCACAATGCGGATAATTAACAAATATTTAATCAACAGCTACATACATAAAGACTATATATTGGAAAAATTACATTTTGTAGAAAAGTTATGAAATTTTTTTTCTGATAAACGTATTTAAAATATTTTAAACATTTTAAGCTTTCCTATAAGACCTGAAAGGACTTAATATATAAATTCTTGTAAAGTGAATGGCTTTTATTAGACTGATGAAACATACTTAATAAACATTAGCAATCAACAAAATCTAAAAAGAATTTGTTTTTCTTTATGAAGTTCTTAAAAATAAAAGTGTAAATACTTTAAAAATACAAACATGTTCAAAGATTCATTAAAATCAAGAAACATTGTAATCAATTACTTAACAGCAAAAAAATCAGAAACAAGCAATTCTTTCTTTGAAATTAAGAATAATTTAATAGAAAATTGCAAAAATAAGTATTTACCAATAAAAGACAGAAACAGTTTAAAAAAATAAGAAATTACAGACCACTAAAAGATAATTATTTAGAAATGAAAAAAGAGGAAAGGAAAAAACGATTTGAGTTCTGTATTATGAAAAAGGTAGATATATTTTTAAGAATAAACATTTGAACATTGAAACTATCCTCCCTCCCTTAAAAATTGTAACTGCAATTAAAAAATAAAGGTTCTTTACAAGCATAATTTCTGTAAGTATACCCAAAATCATTTTCGTTTGTTAATCAAATCATTTCCTATCCTTGATTAAGCGAATCAATGAAAACTTTACTTGAAATTTTATATTTATTTTTTTAAAAATAACAGTTTTCAAACTTTTAAAATTATAATCAAAATTATCCCAAAATAATTTTTAAAGAATTAAAATTTAGAAAACACTTTTTTCCTATGATTCTAAATACTTATGAAGCTAAAGAAGCATTTCTAAAAATTATGAAGCTTTGAAACTTTCTGTAATTTTACAATAAATTCTATATCCAGTACAAAATACTTTTATATTTTATTTAAAACTGATGAATATTCAACATAGTTTCACTTAATACTGCTGCCTACGAATAAGTCTAACTTGAATTGAAGGTAAGCTCCGTTATGTGCAAAAATGAAAATCTATTGGAATAATTTCTGCCTAGCAGGACACAAAGAGGTCCTACTTGCAAAGTAGATCTTTGCTGAAGAATGTACACCCAAATATACTCTACTCCGGGAAATAATCAGTAACATGCTAGAGCCTGCTAGCTAAAATTGAAGTTAGTGAATATAAATAATACTGCAGATACTACATACTGAATTTTATACCAAACTATTTTGCTATTGCTCTACATTTGGGTTTTTGCAATTCTGTATTTCAGCAGTAACTATTATTGAAATAATGGCACAAATATCTAACAAGCTTACATTGCGTTTACTTGCATATTTTTCCTTTTTCTCTACTTTTTGGAAAATCAAATGGGGGAAGTTACATCATTCTGAAGGGAATATCAAAAGGAAAAAATTTACATGCACGTAAGAAAAGGTTACTAATATAATAGAGCACTGTTTAACATTCTGCACAGGACATCCGAAATAAGGTTGATCAGTTTTTGGACTTGCAGCCACAAAGTTTCTGGGCTGAAGGCTTTGAAAAACTACCAAAACACTGGCAGAAAGTCATAGATTTGGGTGGTGATTACTACTAGCACTAAAGATTGTGTTTTCATGTTTTTTCCCTCACTTTATTATGAAAACTTTTGTTACAACCAGATACATATATTTATATGTGAATAATTACAAACTTCTTTATTTCTTACTAAAACTTTCCATTACAACACTTGGAATTTTGATTCTGATTAAAATCATAATCTAGGAGAAAAAAATTATTTCTCCTACATTTTTTTCCATTCTGATTATTTTTCAATTTTCAATGAACTGCAGATTATTGGTTAATCTAGTTACTTATTAATTTACAACTGCAGAAAAAAACGATTCACAAACAAATGTACTCTCAAACTTGGTGATTATTTTTATTGTAAAAATTCACATGTTAAAATATTTAACCTTTGACAAATACAAAAAAAAAAAAAAGTTAATATGATCTGTATCTTCAAATCTTTGAATAATACTTATAGCACAATGTAAATTAATCAGCTTAATTTGTAGATTTTTTTAGGTGTTCATGTTTAATGGCAATGAAAATAATGTAAACCTGAACTCTAAAGCCCCGTTCACAAGAGCAGATTCGACCGGTAGCGAAAACTGGTTTTTCCAACGTGTCACGTTCACACGGCGACAAACATTAAATGCTTCTCCAAATTGGATCTAGATCATTCCTACTTCTCGGGAGCAGGGCAAATGGGGAGATTTTCCATACTGTACTGCGTGATTGCGCGGTTCACTTAATGACAGCTCACTGGACTGTCAACGAAACAATCGCGTTAATAGATATCTGAAGACGTAATATCATCCAAAAAAATTACATAGAACTGTACGAAATATGGAAATTTGTACACAAGTATGGACAATGCTACCTGATGCTGGGTACTCCAGAAATATCATTCAAATAAGACTAAAGACACGCATATCGGCTTCAACTCGACTAGAAGACTTGATACCTTTTGAATGATTTTGTTTAAGAACTTTCATCTAGTTTTATGAATGTTATTAAATGGTTTTGTACGGCAAAATAATTTTAAGCGGAGAAAAAAATTTTTGCCAATATTTTTTTTAATTTAAATTTTTCGAAGAAATGTTTAACAATTAAAATGTCATCCTTCTCTCACAATTTTCAACGATTTTCCTCCAATTTTCTTATTCTATTTATTAGAAAGTTCTTAATAACTTTAAGGATAGATTTTGCAATTAATGAATTAGTTCTGAGAAAAAAATAACACATTTTTATGCAAAAACTTTGAAACAAATATGATCAATTACATTTCCACTTCAAATAATTTTTCTTTCAGTTTTGCAAAACCTATTCTTAGTTTCTATAAAGTACATAATTTTAATTAAGCGGTAAAAATATTAATTTAGGCCATATCTATACTTTTTACGACTTTAAATAAAAGAATTATTGAAAAATGCGAACTGAGAAAAAGCATTTTAAAGAAATAAGCTGTCTATGGTCATTAATCATTTCAAATTGCTTCAAAATTTTATTACTGAATTCCTTACATAGATATAAATAAAACCCAGTGCTATTCATTGATTAATACTTGTATAAACGTAAATTACAAGCCTTATTTAAAATCTTCATAAAACACGTTCAAAACAATTTTAACAGATTAATTAATTATAATATATTCTCTAAAACGTTTATCAATATTAAACATTTATAATTAATCTTATACAGTCAAAAGTCGTTATTCAAACACCCCTAATCCGGACCTCAAAGCTAAAACTTTCTGCGCATGCGCCGCGTTGACACATGCGCTAGGCGTTGCATGCGCGTCCGACCTTACAACGCGCAAGTGCAGATAAGTTTCGCGTGCACGTTTTGTATAAACGACGGTTAAGCTAAAGTTTCTAATTAACTATTTCAGTTAATGTTGATGACGCATTGCTCCTTCATCTTCGACTTGGATCCAGCTTATTTTTTTGCAGACTAAGAGCATTTTTCAAAGTAAACCTTGACTTTTGATTATGTCAAATAGAATTCCGATGCTGGAGCTCCCAAAGGATCTAAACAAAGTATGTTTCGATGTCCTCAACAAAAAGTGGAATTGCTGCAAAGATGGATAAAGACATGAAGAAGGTGACAGAGAGGTTAGTGAAAACGAAAAAATTTTCAATTGACAAGCTAGTCGGTATCTCAGCACAGAAACGGGACTTGAAAGAGGAGAACTTTGTAAGTGAACAGAAAGATGTCTGTTTATAGAATATTAAAGAGCAAGTATTATCACTAAAACGAACAACTTATTTACATTGAAAGAAATGTTTAATAAATAACAATAAGATTAAGCTTTTTTTTGTAATTCTGATACCCTTTAGATCATAATTTTCTTTATTTCATAATTACGGTTTCATATTTTTTTTATAATAATTTCTGCATGCCATCTTACGAGATTTTTAAACTGATGATCTATAATCCAGAAAAATCGATAATCCGGAATCGGCGAAGTCCCAATGAGTCCAGATTGACAACTTTTGACTGTACTAATTTGTCGTTTTATTCCTTTTTTCAAAAAGCAAAGTTTGAAATTTTAGCAGCCAGAAAACATTTTATTTAAAACCGCTCAGCAGCATATGTAGTTTCTCTTTTCTTTTAATCATTTGGTCTCGTATATAAATTGCATTTTAAATTAATTTAGGTGTATTTTAATTAATTAAAGAGTTAAACTCCGATGGCATTCTATAGCAATAATAAACAATGTCAAAAAAGATGTAAGTAAACGTTAGAAATCCACCAAATCTGATTCGCGTTTGTGACATCATTCATTACTCGCAGTGGCTAATGGGTTAAGGAACTAAAAACGATGTGCATCTGAACCGGTACTGAAGACAAAACTGCTTCATATTCCCGTTTCTCTCTAATATAAACGGTGGCTGTGCGAAAGAGCGTTGCATGTGAACGGGGCTTAAGCAGACTTCAGTTTTCTTCAAATTCTTTTTATAATAATAAATGTCATAGTAATGCTAATTTTTGGGAAACATATTCGGATGTCATAAATGAGTTGCCAGTTTAAGACTAATAAAATAAGACATACAATGGCTCAAAAAATCAGAAGGTAGCAATAAACGGCATACCTATTGTTAAACAAACATATATTAAAAAATCAAATTCTGTTATAAAAAACACATTTTACCCTTATATATTATTTTTAGAAAAAAAGTTTTTCCAATTGTTAATAATACTGAAACTGAAGGCATATTATTTTTAGAATAAAAGTTTTTCCAGTTGTTAATAATACTGAAACTGAAGGCATTTACGCACATGTATAAAGACAATGTACATAACTAGAGAGTGAACTACAGATATATATCATATATTTCCAAATAAAAGCTGACAGAAATTGTTTCTTCAAAAATTTACCTAAAATTCAAAACCTATATGTGAATTAAAATAATAATAAAAAATTATAAGGTTCAAACCTATCGCCATGAGAGCAAAAATATTGTCAAGCAGCTGAAATGGGGGAAAGATTTTCTAATCGCTGCAAAATACAGAGGGCGTTTACACATTTGTAGAATTATTTCAACAAATAATTTTAAAAATAGCTACCATTCTAGAATAAAAATTTCTGGCAACACTTTATTATTTGAAATGATAAATATCATCTGCTACTTTTATATTTATTCTTTTTTCAGAATATTGCAAGTAAATAAGCTGTGGATTGAAGCATATGTTTTTACACTTTCCAAAGAGAAATATTCCTAGTCCCTAATAATTTTTAAATGTTATGAAATGCATCGTATTAAAAATTTCCAAGTGCAAAATAAGCAACATTATTAATCAGAAAGGGGAAGAAGGAATCATTATTTCTATATCTAAAGAAGACTCCAAACAAATATCCGAAAAAGCTAAATACTATTTCTAATATTTTTAAAATTAAATTGTTGGTAACCACAGAAAAATCAGCTAATGCAGAAATCAATTTCAAAATCTTTAAATACATCTCTAGCAACAGTAAATAAAACAATGAACCAAGATTTATAAATTAAAAATGCTAAAAAAACAACATTCGCCAATGTTTTGCTAAGACATGAGGCTCGACACAGATCAATTTCTAAAAGCCTGTATGAAAACTATTTACAGGGAGATAAATAATGATACATTGTAATCCTAATGAAGCATGGGTTTCTCTAAATGACTACAATGAAAAAAAAAAAAAAAAAAAAAAAAAAGGTCTATGTGTAAGGAGAAAAAATGTACAACCTGGTGCCATCAATACAAAGAAAGCTTCAATAAGGGTTTTATGATTATCGCAGGCTTCTCCCACAATGGAAAATTAAAAATAAAAAAATGGAAAAACACTATTATAAATTTTGGACACATACGCAAAATTTTAGAGATATTACATGCTAAATTGTTATATTTTTCTGTAGAGTGTAACATAAAAACCTAGAGAGAGGATGCTCTGCTAGAAAAATAAGAATACAGGGACAAGTCTAACCTTGAGTAAATGAGTATCTCGCTAATTTGATGAGATATTGCCAAGCTGGCAACGTTTTTTAGGGACTGATTTTAGTTGCCAATTTTGGCGAGAAATCGGCAAAGTCGCCAAACTTGCCTACTATTTGGTGACCCATTTGGGTCCAGTAATTGTGTCACTATAATAGGTATTGTAAGTTAATAACTGTAATTGATTTCAGATGCTCTGTAACCGTATTTGGCCCTTACACACCTTAGAGTAATTTCGATAAGCAAAAAGTACTAGAAATACCTCGATGTCCAGGTGAAAACTATATAAAACCACAGGAAGCATCGGCTTGGAGTTGTTTAGTCACAGTACTGAGATATCTACAGATTAGCTTTGCTTTTTACATGCACTTTGTACCTGAATTGCAAATGTTCTTAGTAGTCTGAAGTGTAACTACTGGTTGTACTCTGTGAATTGTAAGACTGTTTTTATGGAAAGTTGATTTGTAAAATGTTTCTTTCGATAAAATTAATTTTAAGAACATATCAGAGCTGAGTGCACTAATTATGAGCAGTGAAATCTTTTCAAATTTGTAAACACACTCTGTAAAATGACAGGCACCAACATGATAGCTTTAATTTCAGGGGCTCTATCTGAAACATAGATATTTTTTCCTTTCCTTTCTTGTCTTGCACATGATCTGTGATATCTGTGCTACTGTTATCTTCATTTCTCCTTTTGACCAAGATGTAACAAACCAGCAATATAAACTATTTCAAAAATAAAACAATTCCTTTCTCCCCTCCCCTAAACTTAAGAAATATAAACTAAAGAAAAAAAAAAGTGCCACATTCAGCAATTTATCACTCTCGTCTAGCTAACAGAAAAACACTTTTTTTTTTTTTTTTTTTTTTTTTTTTTGCAAGTTTGGGAGATTTATTAGAAAAAGTTCCAAAAATTCTTAGCTTATATACATGGACATTTTTTATCTTGCACATCATCTGTGGTATCTGTGCTACTGTTATCTTCATTTTTCGTTTTGACCAAGATGTTATAAACCAGCAACATAAACAATTTCAAAAATAAAACAACTCAATTCATTCCCTCCTCCCATAAACTTAAGAAGAAAAAAAAAACTAAAAAAAAAAAAGTGCCACATTCAGCAATTTATCACTCTCGTCTAGCTAACAGAAAAACACTTTTTTCTTTTTTTTTTTTTTTGGTAGGGGCAAGATTGGGAGTTTCATTAGAAAAAGTTCCAAAATTCTCAACTTATATACACAGACATTTCTTATCTTGCATATCATGTGTGGTATCTGTGCTACTGTTATCTTCATTTTTCGCTTTGACCAAGATGTCATAAACCAGCAACATAAACAATTTCAAAAATAAAAGAACTCAATTCATTCCCCCCTCCCATAAACTTAAGAAATATAAACTAAAGAAAAAAAAGTGCTACATTCAGCAATTTATCACTCTTGTCTAGCTGACAGAAAAACTCTTTTTTTTTTTTTGTTTTTGCGAGATTCGGGGATTCATTTGAAAAAGTTCCATAAATTCGCAGCTTATACATGGAAATATATGGTATATATCAATCAAATCATAGTATAGTTGTGACAGTAATATAATATACAGGTAGGTTTTTTAATACTTCAGCTTTAAGTTACATAAAAAATTAAATAGTACTATCAGAAACTGAAAAAGAACATCTAAGTACATAAACACAATAAGAGATAAATCTTACTTCTTTTCGGGACTTTCTGTCATCACTTTTGCTGCTACTTTTTTTACCACTTAATTTTGCTTCCACTTGATTCTTCAACTCCCGGAATACTTCATCTACCATTCCTTGAGCCGTTCTAGGACCAGTGTAATCTCTCGGCCTGTTTTTGTTGGTGCCGAATATTTTTATCGTAGGAAAACCTCGAATTTCATATTTTTGTCCAAGAGGCTGATATTGGTCAGCATTAACTGCCCCAACTTTTATTAAACCCTAAAAAATAGATTATGAAATATGTAACAGTTTTCAGAATAATTTTACTTTTAGATCAGAACATGAAGCATGCACGATTCTCTTTCAAAAGCAAATTATTCTGCACAAGTACAATAGCTAAAAGCCATAAAAATACAACAAATCAATGTGCTTCCATAGAATAACTTTCTTGAAGAGAAACAATTATTTGTCTCTTAAAATTAATGCCAAACAAAGTTGAATTCCATAGCTAAATGAAAATGGTATTTCATTAATTAGGCACTGGGGGTCCTGTGACAAGTGCAAGAACTCAACTTGCAAGGTATTGGCTAATGTATTCCATAACAGAAGCTGTGTTTGCTGATGAACTTAATGCCACAATGGACAACAATAAATGTTGTTACATATTATCAGATTTAAAAAAAACTTTGCCACATAATTTAGAATATTGCAGAATGGTTCTGTGCCAGAATTTTGTTGTATCACAACAATCTGAGGCTCTCTATTGTTGCTTTTATACATGGTTGAATATTTTTAATCACAACTAATTTTTTGAATAATCTGGCAGCAGCTGGATTACCTCACCTTGCTTCCAACAGATTACCACATCTATGATATGAAAACAGTGGTTCAAGAATAATTATGCTTTCAGGTGGAAGACGTCTATGACACCAATCTGCAAAAACTTGTCACAAGCTATAACAAATATTTGAATATAATAGGAAACTATGAGTAAAATATAGGAAGGTATGTAAAATGAGAGAAAAATAAAATAATCAAAATGTTTCACAGATAATTTTGTATTCTAAAATGGGCCTTAGTTAAAAATATTCCTCATAAATCTTAAAATTAACTTTTACCAATAGCCTCCAGATGGAGAAATGATTAGTTACCAACTGCCATATTGAAGAGTCCAGGTCTGAATCCTGGAGAAGGCACTGATGTAAATTGTCTGTCCCTTCATAAGAGCCAATGATGGCCTACCTACTAAGTGCTTCTATAATAGAGAGACCACCTCTTTCTGCCTCAGTAGTGACCAATGCCCATAAATGGCTAGAGCCTGCCACTGGGGAAAAGAACCTTTACCAGTACGTTATCTCTGTGGTCATAAAATTTAAATGCTAAGGCCTTTTTCTAACTTAACAAATAGAGTTCGAAATTATGAGCATATTTTTTTCAATTATAAAAAGCATAAGTTTTATTATAGCTTTACATACTCATATATGATTCAATGGTATTTAAAAGCTAAAACATTCTTTTAGGTTGTATTTTACAGTAACTTAAGTACCAGCACCTGCCAATACAACCTCAAAAATATTATTCGATTGCTTCCTGCAAGTGTTCGGGGCATCAACGAAGGATGAGGATGGCTTCTTTCATTTCACTGTCGACTTCCAACTAGTTACAGCAGTTTCGGTGGATAATGTTTTGGTAATTCCTTTTGGTGGAAAACTATCAAGGACAATTCCCCCCTCCCATGGTATTTTTTTTAAAATTGGTGGAGAAATGATGCAGAAGCTCTCAGCTATTTCCATGGATATATAATCTTGACAAAAAATCAAGACAGTTAAAATTTTTGTATAGCAAAATAGCACAATGAAAGATATACAATGAAAATGTAATGACAACAATATCTAATAAAGTGCTAGAATAAGAACTGAGAACTAGATTAAGAGAAATTTCCTTCCTATTAGTACAGTTCACTTGGAGATAAGCTGTAAATAGGACTTGGATTTATGAGGAATATTCTGATGCAACTATCAGACTGTTTCCACCAAAAATAAAAACCCTATTCTGTAGAACAAATCACCACCAAAATGCATCAAAAGATTTCAAGCCAAGCATTGACATGTGCCAATAAACATGCAAGTATAATTTCCAAAAATAAATTTATATTGAACAACTAATATAAAGAAAAGTTTTTATGGTACTTTTCCGTTTCGCCGGCGCAAATCTCGTCAAGCAGACTTTATTGGCGACAACACACGGTATGCACATAAAAAAAATATTAGCAAATGTTAATTCTAAGAATTTTTTATTTTGAAGGCATAAATCATTTTAATATCGTTTAAAATTTTGTCAAAAGCCAATAAATAAAGACAATAAATTTGTAAAAAGACATTAAGAATTTACTATGCTTTCATGGTACAACATCCTGATTTGCCGGGTCATATCACGTGACCCCAAGTGATCTCATCTCACGTAAACTACGCTAAAAAAACTAATTCTCTCAATAATTATCTACATTAATTTCAAGTTAAATCTTAATATGAAATACAAGTTTAAATGCAAGAATTATTTCAATTCGTACGAATAGCTTACTCAGAAATTATATGAAACCACAGTGCTTTACTTCGTTAGTGCATTCTCATTATAATTGATGAGTTTAACCCTTGACTTTGCCATTTCTATATTTTTGTCTTCAGGTGAGTGGTGTGATTGCATCCTAATTGACTTAATTACCGCGAATGGCCTTAGGGCATAAAATTGAACCATATGGGTAAAAATTTTATGTAATTGTATGCCAGTATTGAAAGAAACAATCAATCTTATAAGAAATGGCTGCTATTAGTTTTGAAAATAAGGCGTAAAAGTTTACCAGCGAGGATATTCTGTTTGGCATCAGTTGTACCATTAATGGCGACTTGATCGCCTGCGCCGGCAAAACGGAAAAGTACCGTTTTTGCTTGTTATTTAAATTATTCTGAAATACCTTGAGTGCTGATGCCATTTTCGTATATTCTGACACCAAGGCTTGACAATGACCACACCTAAAATTTCAAGAGTCTGAATTAGTAATTCATTTCTGTAGTCAGCATTTTGAACAATTAGCTGTAAAACAAATGTAAATACTAAAAATTCAGAATTTTGCAAATTTATTCTAATGCTATTTATTACACAGAAAATAGGACTATATACAAGAATGTTTTTCTCTTTTCCAAATGTCCTTTTGGAAACCATAGATGTCTTTTACATTCAGTTTAACATATTAAAAACAATTACCTTTTTATAAAAGCAGTCACAGCCTAAACTTTTGACAATATCTGAGATTCGTACATTATAGATAACTAATTATGCACACAAGCCTCTTTAACAAGAAATTACAAAAACATTACAGTACTCCAGAGCTTATTTAAGTAACTTATAATATATTAACCGAGTCCTTACCATAACATCAAAGTACTGAATTTACACCATTTCACAACTTTTTTGCTACACAATTTTGACATACAATAGTGCCTTGCTATGTTTGCTTTGAAATATATTTAACTTAATATACATACTGTTTGAACATGAAAATTTCGATTCAGCATATGATATTTGATTGGAATATGAATCAAGTTAGATGAGTCCCAACTGAGCACACTGCATTTGTTTACCTCTTGTGACATCCTTTGTTTACCTCTTGCTATGATTGTGCACAAGTGTCATTGTATCTGTCGCTACTATAAACAATTCTTCTTACGACTCTAAATTTTCAAGTGATTTTTAGTTTTTTTTGGTAAATTCATCAACAATGAAATTTAGTAAAGTTAATGAGAACAGTAAAAAAATGGAGCAAATTCTTCAAATCACAGAGAGGGGGGAAAAAAAAAGAAAAAAAAAAAAGATTGTTGAAAAATATGAAGACAGTATGCATATCCAGGACTTGGCTAATGTATATCGCATGCTGAGGAACTTGAACAAAAGAAGTTGGTTAATTTAGTTTGAACTGCCTTACTGTCTCTTTCTTGTATTATTGTTTTTCGGAGAAGACTTATGGCTTGAAAAACATCACTTGCATCCCTGGCTTCAAAAACAGTTTGAAGTTTTTCTGTGCACTCAAAAGCCATTGAGTATGTTGCGGGCAGTTCAGCTTAAAATTTTTCACATTCATCATAGTCGCTTTTGTTATTTTTTCCATCTGCTTTAACTTGAATTTCAGCTACAATATCCTTGGGAATAGGTATCTTGGAAGTCGTGAACAGACACATAATTTTCAAATTCTTTTCTCAACTCATTTGCAAGATGCCTACTTCCCTCTTGAGAAATGTCCAATCTAGCCTTACATGAGCAATTGGTAATGTATGTTGTTGTAACGTTTTCCCATGCATTATTCAATAAACAACATCACTTAAGTATATTTACATTAGCATTACAGGTTGTTCCTATTTTTTCTCTTCTATCAGGAAGCATCAAAATCATCAAGTGCTTACAAATGTCCTATTTAAAACTTCTTATGATCCCTTGGTCCATAAGCTGGATGATATTTATAGAATTATGTGGTAAAAATTCAATCCTGATCATTATGCAAGATAAAAAAACCGACTGTCGTGTGTTCGCAGTACTTATAACTCATCATTACCATTCAGTTGACTTGTTCAACTTTCAGTTTAATTGTTAAAAAATTTTTCAAAGAAAAGATTAGCTGAACTGGAGAGGTGGAAGTCAAAACAAATTTTACGAATCAAAATATATTGCTTGCTGTTACAGGGATTTGCTGATTAAAAGCGAGTTATGCTCACATAGGCTTAGCATTGTACCAACCAAGTGTTTTCAATTTCCTCTTTACATTAGGGCTTGTTATAAGCGAGTTGTAGCGTATTTCTAACAGTGCACATCATTTCTCTTAAGTAAAAAAACAAGTTAGAGAGTGGCAAAATAATCTTGAATTAGCGGATGCCAAAATTCAAAAAGTATGTGCGAAATTATGTAGTATGTGGTCGTCTTCCATTAGCTGGGTGCAAATTTCACCAAAATCAGATGTTTCGTTTTGACAATGATACAGTAAACCAGCAATGTAAACAATTTCGAAAAAATACAACTCATTTTCGCAATATCAATAACTCATTCTATTTAAAATAATTTTTTCACACATTTAAGAAATCTAAATTAAAGAAATAAAAAGCGTTATTTATCACTTGTGGCTAGCTAACAAAGTACCTATGTTTTTTGTGAGAAGCAGATTTGCACATAAACTGACTCTCATTTAAAAAAGTTCCAAAATTTCTTGGCTTATGCATAGAAATAAAATATATGGTACATTTTTATGACTGATTAAGACTGTTCAGCTATGACCTTCAAAAGTATTCAAACACTGCCTGTAGATTTGTGTTAGCTATTGTATGTTTATATTCAAAAATACAAACACACACACAAATGGCAATTTTGCTGAACACTGAAACAAGAGATATGGATACTCAAGAAGCATCCTTATTTATGTTAACTCTAAACATGCTAGATATGGACAAACCAATGAGAGATCTCCATGAACTGTTAAAGAAGATACTCTGAATGATGGGATTTGCAAAAGGATGTTTTTAAGAGTTGGAGTTCCTATTTGCAAACATCAAAATAATGACAAAAATTTAAAAAAAAGATGTTAACAAATACAGGGTGACAAATGGAACACCTTAAAAAAATGTTTCTTGCTTAATATGGTGTAGGAAACCCGTTGGCATCCAAAACAGCTTGCAGTCTTCTCGGAATGGATAAATACAGTTCCTGTATGTTTGCCAAGGGAATATTATACCATTCTTCCTGCAAAACGGTGGCAAGTTCAGATAACGATGTTGGCGGTGGATAACGAGAACGCACTTTCCGTTCCAATGTAGACCACAAAGGTTCGATAATATTCAGGTCTGGTGACTGTGGTGGCCAGGGGAGATGGGACAACTCATCCTCGTGCTCAGAAAACCAGTCCTGGACAATGTGAGCTGTGTGAACAGGGGCTTTGTCGTCTTGGAAGACACCATCACCATCGGGGAACAAAGTTTGTACCATGGGATGAACTTGATCGGCCAAAATGTTCACATAAGTCTTGGCAGTCATGTGCCCTGACACAGTTATCATGGGGCTAGCAGAGAACCACGATATGGCTGCCCAAACCATAACAGAACCCCCGCCATGTTTCACTCTTGGCAACAAACAGTCTGTATTATAGGCTTGAGATGGCGTTCTCCAGACGTAAACTCGGCCAGAAGTGGGAAACAATGTGAAAGAAGACTCGTCAGACCATATTACTCGCTTCCACTGCTCTATAGTCCAGGCTTTATGACTTAAACACCACCTTTTCCTGTTACGGGCATTAGCATCACTGATGAGTGGCTTCTCAATTGCAGCACGGCCAGCAATTCCCTGTTTATGAAGCTCCCTTCTAATTGTTTTGGTACTCACAGGGTTCGGTAACACAACATTCATTTCAGCAGTAACTTTTGCAGCTGTGGTCTTCTTATTTTTCGTCACAATTGCCCTTAATGATCATCTGTCACGAACCGGCACTTCACGTTTTATTTTTTGGGCTTTTCCAATAAAGATAAATCGATAAGCTTTGCAACCCTAAACACCGGGCCGTTGCTAAGTCCTACATACGACCAATTCAAGTGACTGAATATACCATTCCTATCGAATGTGACCTCATCAATGAACGACACATAAGATGGGAAATTCACATCTTTGATCCTTTGTTCCAGACACCAATGTGGAAAATGCACATGTGCAGGATGATCATCAGGGAGCGATAACTGAACACTTTGGAAATGAAAGGCCTGTAAGAACTTGGTATACAATATACACTGCACATTGTAGCGAGACTTAATTCTTTCACTATGAATTAAAAAAAAAAAAAAAAAAAATAAAAAAAAAAAAAAAAAAAAAAAAAAACTACCCCGTGAACTATCCAAATGAATAAAATTTGTCATAAATATGATAAATTTAGCATCTGGAAATTTTATTTATTTATTTATTTATTTATTTATTTTTTGACAAACGGATTTCAAGTCAAAGGCTGAGACACATATGTCCCAGCCACAGTTAACAGTAGGATACATATGTTCCACAAGTAGCAATCGACTTACTATAAGCACACTTATTATTCTGGGAAACTTTATTATATGAAATAGATCTTTATATCATATGGTACAGGGTAAAAAATTCTTTACATAACCCAACATTACATATTGGGCAACTTGTATTTGTTCTTTTCTCCACGTTCATTTGTGTATAACGACACAGCAGCGTCTTGATTTTCCAACTATTGGAAGATGCTCCCCAACATTCAGGAGATTCTTAGCAGTCTTCGACCCAGCAGTAATTTTTAAGCTTTTAGTGGACCAAAATTGTGCCATTAGTAGTCAAAGGGTTAAGGCAGAAGCAATGGCATGTATGTTGATACCGGGATCAGTCTCTACAGCATCCAATACACTTTCTTCCATGACAACCAAACATGTCAATCATGGCCCCCTTATTAATCCTAGTACTTCTTAATGACCAATACTCGCACAGATTTCAATGAATATATGTAAACACACTGTGATACATATATTCATTGAAACACACTGTGGCGTCTGTTTGGGAAGCATTCTCAATAAATTAATTCAGTAACTTGTTCACTGCCTCAGTTATTTCATACACTAAGCAAATGTCTACAAGCTCACCATTCATATACCATTGCATGCTGGCTACTGCTTGAATGAGAAAATCCAGTTTCCCCTCCAGCACTCTTGTGCAAAGCACCACCTCATGAAGTAAGATGCTTCTGGTCATAGGTTCCAACATAATTCTCAATAATTATGATGTGTGCTACCACCCCTAAAAGTTTGTTGTTACATTTTTTAGACACCCTGTACATGTATGTGTATGTGTGTTCACACATTTCTGCATATACATACACTTTTGAGTCTGGTCATGACAACAGAAGAGCATCAGATTTTCTCATCATATTGGAAAAGATCAAGAATTATATGCCTGCCATTTAATTTCAATTAATTTTAGTCATTTTATTGTAAGCACT